AGGCTGAGGCATCGAATATACAGCTTAGAGCCCAAAACATAAAACCGAGACCCAACACCCTAAATTCTGACCACCTAAGCATGATAATAATAAAGAAGACGCCTAAGCAATGAATCATACCCGCCTGAAAGAAGTTATCGGACAATACTAATAGGTATTAAGAGGTAAGAAAAAACCACCAGCACAACGCCAACACGTGGATGCGTAAACTTAAATAATGAAGCCTGACCATAACACTCGATGCTGGAACCAGAAGGATAAAGAGTAAAGCCTTAATCTTGAACCTTAAGGAGTACAAAGTGAACAAGAAAACCTGACAGAACCCTACCCCAGCATAACCCAACAGGAGGATACCATAGAAAGGACCCGGATGGAGGAGGTGCTTACACCCTGGAACGGAACAGCGTACACTACCAGTCTAACAGCCAAGGAACACGGCTAACACCTATAGAGAAAAATGTACTCTTTAACGGAACTCCATAGAATTGCAGCCCTCAAAATTACAGGAGCCTAAGCGGAAGAGGAGCGTAACAAGGGGAGAGAAGGGCTAATCGATGGTGGCAGAAAGATAAAGCATCAAACAGGAGGCCAGGGGAACAGGTTAAGCAGTAGGACCTAGGAACCATATAATAAGACAAGGGAACAGCAACTCACAGACTACTTCTGCGATATACCTTTTCAACCTCTACGCATAAACGTTACCTGTCCCCCAAAGTGCATGTAACATGCAACGTCAGAATAACTGAGCAATAAGCCATACCTGAGGGCCAATAGAGGTTAAAGGCAAAGGAATTAACAGAGGAACAACAGGACTCACACTCCGAGGGCTGAATCCAAAATCAGAAACTTAATCATTCTGGGCTAAAAAGTAGAGGCTAAGGAATGATACCTAGCAAGTTAACAGTAGCTACAGGGGCAATAAAAAGGAGCTATAAATACCCGAGCATGAGCACTTAACTCCTAAGAAATAAACTCTGAACTTAACGCCATAGTTTTGCACCATGGACATGGTGTCTAAATGTGCACCTTAAGCATCGAACCTGGACGCGGACCCCTAAAAAGTTGAGTCCTAACCGAAAAGGGAAAGCCTCCAAATTATAAACCTTAAAGGGAAGAAAATGGACAACAAAAGAGGGGAAGTTATAGGTTGAGCGTAACAAGTAAAGGACAAAAACCCAACCCTCAAAAGCCAAAAGGGAACAATAAAGAAGAATCCGGAAGCACCCGGCAAGGACGAAGAAGTCGGGGACATAAAGCTGGGGATACCCCCTGAAACCTAAAGCTAGACTCAAGAGCTATAAACGGGAGCCATACGGAGTAAAGGGAGAACACCCCCCTAGCCCTGATTCCCACAACCTATAGAATACAGGTATTTCCATAAACCCAGGAACCCGGAGGCCTAAACATTAATCTTCCATGCTTGGAAGGGAAAACTAAATCGACAGAACCAATTCCTCGAAATTAACTCCTACTCTATGAAATCTAGGGCTAAGACAGAAGCCCACCAAATTAGACCCAAACCATGACACCGGGAAGAAAATATGACTCCTCAACATGAACCCAACAGGTCAGCAAAAAGCATGTCGTCCCTAAAAGCCAAGTTACAGAGGGATGCATACTAAGATGCACTAACTACACCTGAAAACAATGAACACAAACAACTAGCATTAAAGAGACCCCACTAAACCCAGAATCAGGGGGCATAACATCCTGGCATGTTACCGCTATTCCAAACAAGTGATACACTTTTGTAGTAACACTATGTGGAAATGTAAGCAACTAACAGATAGGACCTGTAGTAGTAGCCTTTGAAGAATACACAATGCCCCCTCTGGAAAACACCTTAAGGGGTAACACCTAAATATTGAATCGCAAAGGATACCCCTTAACCACCCTACTCCGTAACTCCAGCGACTATAGGATATGCAACCCCAAAAAGACAAGGGAACAGCCTGCCTGCTAAACGCAACCCTCAAAACGTGAGCGTTAAAGGATAAATCCAAGACCCTAACCCTAGTAGTCTAATACCATTGCACGATCCCTATCCTCGCAAGCTGAACCAACCAGAACACCCCTTAGATTTCAGGGTAACTGGGCGAGGGAAAAAATATATCATCTAAGTCGTAGAATCTGAATCACATCAAAAACTCCACCAGAGCGGCAACGAACCAACACCCCCCGAAGTACCTGACAGGGGAAGCGTAGGGCATTCGCTCCAGAAGTTCTAAGAGGTCAATAAAGGAACGAGGAATCTCTAGAACAGAGCGAAGCTGTCACGACCGGAGGCGAAGATGCAGCTAACGAAACCTAAGGGATAAGGCCAACTCGCGACATGTACTGAAGCGATAGCCCTGAAGATCACTGTGTAAATAGGATGATTAGAAACCGAATCAGGAAGCCTACCGATTAGCCCCTGACACCTAACCCCCCAATCACTACCTCCAGCCGCAAAGGTCTGCATCTTGCAGCCGCGACTCTAACTTCTGGAAACTGAACCCTAAACCCTAAACCAGGAACCTCCGGGCTTACAGCTGGAGCATACCCTTAGATAGAGCAGCAAATCCTTAAACGCAAAACATTAAGTCCGGAAGCGTGAACCTTGAAAAGAACACCTGAGCCCTGGAGTCTAAACCGTGAACATTAAAAAATAAAATCTAAACTGTAGACCTAGGGCCTCAGCACTCGGTATATACCCTGAGCCCTAGGGGATTATCCCGGAGGGATACCTTGAACCTTAGCTCAGGAACACCGGACGCAAACCCCCATGTAACGCGAATAGTAAACACTGGAAGTTAAAACCACAGCATAACCGCTAAGAACACATCAAATAAAAACAACTAGCACAGATGAGGGACCTGAACACTAAATCCGCAAGTAACAGCCCTAAACCCTGAACCCTGAGGGCCTAAGCCGAAGGAAGGAAGCATAACCCGTAAAATTCACTTGTAAATCCTGCAAACAAAAGCGTGGAGACTTAAAGCTGCAGCCTCAAAAATAAACCTAAACAATGGAAACTAAACCCAGGGGGTAAAAACTGCCAATGAAACTAACATGCGAAACTCACGCCATGATCCCTGAAAAGTGAGAAGAAAGACCAAAACCATGATCCCAGGGCCTGAGCGCAGAACCATGAATCCTGAATGGTGTAGCCTGACAGATGAGATCGAAGATGTATAACCCCAATCCGAATCCGTAAACCATAATTCTAGATCCTGAAACTTAAAACCTCGAAGACTAAACGCTAAGACTTGAAGATTCATCCCTGAACCATAAAACTCTAAATGGTGAACCGACAGCCCTAAACCCTGAATACTGAGGACTAAATCCTGAACACTAAACCTAAACCTGGAGCCTAAAGAGTAGATCCTGAGATTAGAATGCTAGAACCTGAACCCTAAACCATAAACGCTGAATACGCAACCGTATACCCTGACGGCTCAACCCCCATCCCTGAAACTCCAACCAGAACATCCACCCCGACCCATGAAAGAGGAATCCAGAAGCCTGAACTCTAATCCCTCACCCTGAATCCTAGATCCTGAAACCAGGACCCCGACCCGATATCCCTACAACTGAACTCGTAAAACCTGAACCGTTGAAACGGAATCTGAACTCCGAATCCTAAACGTAAAGCATGAAACCTAAACCGTCAACCGTAAACCAATACCACAAACACTGAATGCTACGCCTTAGAGGTTAAACATAAAACCGTAAACCTAAACCTTGAACTCTAAACCCTAAAACCTGAAACCATAAAACCTAAAACTATATCGTAAGCACTAAATCCTGAACCATAAGACCTAAACTCTGAACCCTCACCACTAGGTCCCTAGAACCCTGGACATTTAACCCTAAACCATGAAAGCTGAATCTAATCCCTAAACCTTAAACCTAAGCCATAGTACCGAAGTCCCGGATCCTGAAACATTAACGGAAAAAAATAAACGAAAGAGCTAAAACCCTGGCCCAAGTCCTTCACCCCGAAACCAAGAACCATAGACCATAGAACCTAAACCCCAGACCCGATAGCCTAAATCGTGGGGCTTTATTCTTGATCCCGCAATCCCCCACCTCCAATATGGATCCACACTACCTAAAGATCCTCTTCACAGCAAAATGCCCATTCTTAAACCCCAAGGGGTCCCATCCCCCTAGCCCAGGAGGAAAGTGGAACTCTCCCCTCCCATCCCCCCAGTTGTTCGCGTCTTCTCACTCTTAATGCCGAAACCCTGAAGCCACCAAGCTCTAACTCCTACCTCCAACTGTCCTCTCAACCAACTTCGCCCCCCCGATTGCACAGTCAGCGCCTCCCCAGCTTCCCCCCCCCCGCCTTCCTTGACCACCACCGCATGGGCTCGCCCCCTTCACTCAGCTTCCAGCGTATGCCGGGGGATCGAATACGTCCACAAATTCCTGTTGCAGGCGTTGCCTTTGGGTTAACACTTCCTAATCAGGAGGGTTTTAGGTCGGGAGTAACTGTCTCTGCTTGGCAATCCGTCCTTGTCCTCTTGTCCTTCATTCGTATCATATACGGCACCTTACTAGCTCTGTCCGGCGTGTGTTTCATCTCCTCCCTAGGTTTGAACCACCAGCCACGTTGACTGAGGATCTTTCACTCCTTGCCTCAATCCTGTTGCCACTCCCTCACTCCTCTTTTCCCCTATTGGCTGTGTTATACTTCTTCTTCCCCCCTCAATCCTCTCACGGTAATCAATCTATACTTGCCCCGCCGATGTGAGTTGGTGATTTAAGTTCCCTATTTCCCCCAACCTGTCCTGTTATTACTCCGCGGTGTCTGTTAGAGAATAAGCTAATCCCTTCCTGCTTCTTCGATCGATATTTCCGGTCCCAATCCTGGGGGTTGCCTTCCCAAATACCCTATATAAACCATACGCCCCAAGAATCCCTATCAGTCCGCTTATTACTCCGCCCACTATAGCTGCCGTTCCTGGGACTTTTGCCTGATGTGGTTGCTGTTGGGTTGTTGGGGGGGCTTGAGCCTAAAAAAAATGAATAAGAAGTTTTTTATTCTCTCGCCGTTTCCTAAGGACATTCTTAATTAATACTGCCTGCCTAGTTCTGGTGAGGGCTAAGTATTTTTTCTGGTCACTTACTTCCACTTTCGCTTTGACTTCTGCCAATACTTGATCCAGGGTATCGATGAATTGAGAGCTGTCCTGGGCCGTTTCTATAGACGTCACGATAGTGGTATCACCTGAGGAGCCTCCTTTATATGCAGATTCCTCCCCTTTTTCCCCGGGTGTTGCTGGGAAAACTCTGTCGCAAGTGATTTCTTTATCCCCTTTTGAGATCCCTAATATAGTTTCAGTTATTATTTCATATACATCCCGAGCCGGTAGTTGGAACTCTTTTTTCTCCCCCGTGAGATTCTCGCTATGAGAGAACCAATCCCTCATTATCTTGGCTGCCACTTCTTCTCCAGCCCAATCATGCAGCCCCTTATATATTCTCCCACACACCCCTTCTCTCGTGTTTTCATAATAAGTCCTTCTTTTGCTTGTTGAGTCTAATCCAGCGGTTATCATTATTAGTGTGACAAGTTCCATACACATTTTTAAGGTCTGCTGATATTCTTGACCCATACTTAGGGCTACTTTGTCTTTGTGATCTATCCAGGCCAATTTTTCTCGTTCAAAGATACATTTGTTCGAATTTCCTCTGGGAGTCCCCCCTGCCATGAACTCATCATAACTACATGCTCCCCGGAAGTCTATCTTTGCGGCGGTCCCTGTGCCTCCGTCTAAGGTACTTATCCAAGATTCGAGTCCTATACAAATTGATCTACTCATCCTTGAAACATTTGCTAGGGTACCTGTTGACTCGTTGGGGAATATTTCCTCTAATGTTGTCGTCCCTGTCCCTATCTTCTCCTGGTTGTTTGTTCTCAATCTACATATTCCTGCTGTTGCCTCCTGCCCCTTCTTACATTCCTTTTGCTCCAGGCCCTTCTTCAAAAGGCTCCCTATATACATATGTAGAAAACTCTGCATCTTACTCAGAAATGAATTCCTCCAGTTCATAAGATGGCGCGAGCCTGCTTCAGAAACTTCCGCTACTTCTTCGTACTTAGTCTCTCTTTGAGATACCCACCGGCCATACTAATCCCATTTCCTATAAGGCTCCAGTCATGAACGCAACTTGTGTCTCGCTCTTTCTGCCTGTTCTCGAGGGACTCACTCCCCCCGGTGCCCTAGTCCTCTCATCTCTCTCTATTTCGTTTTCAGTAAAGGCCCAACCCCCTCTGGGAGTCTCGTGTCTGGCTGGGGAGAATTCCTGCAAGGCGGCAGCAGGTTGGCCTCATTCGTCCGATGAGGCCCGGGTACTGGGCGTCCTGAAATTTCTCCACAATACTTCTCTCGCTTTGCGCATCCTGCGAGTCCGACTCCTAGTGGTGGGTTGCGGCTAACAGTCCCTACGGCCAGGTTCTACTCTATATCAACTATGGCCCTACTTCTGCTTGCCTCACGTACTCTCACGGGGTTTAATACTTATTCTTTTTCCTTGCTGGGAACCCCAAATTCAAGCAAGTTTCGCTCTTATTTCAACATTCTAACAAAAGCACTGTAGTCATATCCTGATATGCTCTTCCTTAGGCTCCTAACATTCCCCGTAATTTTTAAATGAATCAGAATAGTAGGCTTTACTTTTCTTCACTACTCGGCCCCAGGGGGGATTTGCCCTATTCTTCTGGTGAAGGGGCAATTTTAGACTCGTGCTACTCTTGCGGTCTTAATATCTTCTACTTCCGGTATATCAAGGGCATTTTGGGGTTTTTCGTCTTTCTGCAGCCCTGCTCCTTTGTTCCCCAATCTCCCCCTGAAGCCCCAAATCTGTCCCTGATACTGCCCCTTCTTGCTGTGGTCCCATTTACTCTTGAGAAGTTCGCTCAACTTCTCCCTTGTTCTTGTATGAAACGTTGAAGTCCTTAGCTGGGAGCACAAGTAGTCTATGCTTCTTCATCCTATGCTTCCCTAATCATACGCTGATTAAGGCTGTTCACGAGTCTTCCGTACTTGACGCTATCGTGCTGATTCGACTATACCCGCATGAGACTTGGCCTATCCTCCCTTGCTTCGGGCCTAATCTTCCTAAGCGAGGAAGTTCCACTTGATAGGTAGATTTTACTGTTTCTTGTTCTCCGTCTCCCTGTTATTTTTCTGCTTAACTCCTTGTTATATTATTATGATTCAGGTGCCTTAGACTTCCTTATTCTAGTAGACTTGCTCTTAATTCCTGACTTTGGGATTTTGTGGTGCTTAGAATTCTTATTGCAAGATCCTTCAAGTTAGCGGTTTACTTCTCCCTTCTGCATACTAGTCGCCTTATGAACCCGTCCCCATCCTCGGGGTTTCTACTTCTGGGCTTTCCTGATTGGGCTCTTATATTATTCGCTTACAAACCTCTTTTAATCTGCTTATCATTGTTTATTTCTTTGGGCACTTTCGTGGTATCCGGTATATACATATTTGCCGTGTAAAGTTGGAGGTGATTATCTTACTGGAATTCGCTCGGTTTAGCGGGGGGGAGGGGACTTATTGTTCCCCTTATCATACCTACATCTCTAATTGCGCTTGGCTCATCTTGTACCCCTCCCTAATCATTAAGAGCTGAATTTTTCCAATTGCTTAATACTCACCTGGATCTTATACCCAGATTTACAGAAACCTCTAGACGTGGCGCTACTCTTAACTACGCTCTTATTTTCCCTAATGCTCTGTTTGGCTGGGGTAACGTTTCTTCGTTATCTATCCGGGGAGGATGGAATTGCACCTAATGCCTTCATTTTTGGTCTTGAACATTTGATCCCTTCCTCAGTTCAGTAGTTTTTATCTTATCGGATAATTTATATTAATACGACTCTGCCGCTTCTTGGTCAGAAATTTATTGCTCTAACCCGACCTTCAATTTTGGGGGTTTGCGCCCGTCTATACTTCTTCAAGGATAAATCCTGGTAGTATTCCTCTAAGCTGATTCATAAGAGAGCTCGATTTTCTCTATACACTCAAGGTGGCTTTTTTCCCTGACACGGAACTTATTGGCCCCCTTTGTGATTATCTCTATTCATTTATCTCATTTACTATATTAACTTATCCTCCTCCCCCCATCTAATTTTCCTTCTCTGTCTGTTCAGGATATAAGGCACATCTATATCCTGTCAATCATTTGTTCCTTCGGCGTAATTCGCCCCCCTAGTTAGATTCTTGTCTGTCGGGAACTAAGTTCTTCTTTTCACTTCTTTGCCTTCTTTAGCTACTCAATCTTCTGCTCATTAGATCCCGCAGAAAAGTTCTCGTCATTTGTTTCCTTTTCAATCTTAGTCAAATTATAACATCCGTTTCTTCCTTCACTATCCCTTGCTCTTTCGTATCAGCGAATTTTATCCTCTTCTTAAGCCTTCCGCTTCCTCCTCGCTTTTCTGCTGTAATCAGACGTTGTGTTCCTTTGAAGTTCCTGTGTATGTGTGTGGGGGATTAATGAGCACTGCACGTCGTTTACTCTCATCCGGAGTCGTTCTGGGGGGTCTCCGGCTGCTTCCCGCTTTAACATCCTCCTTCGGCTACCTGGTCGGCTACTGAACCTGTATCTTCCCATTAGGGTGCATACTCAGCTCCTCGTGCTCATTCATCGTTCTCTGGAGAGGGGGGCGACTTCCTCTGCTGTCTGTCCCCCCCATTGTCTGTTTTCCTCTATATAGTGTCGCAGGTTGGAAATGTCCTTGGTACTATCATTTGGAATTGGATCCTCCTTGTGCCTCTTTCTCCAGTCGTCTCACATTATTTGGATTACTCCGCTTATGCACTATATAGGCGCTTTCTGTTACTTAGAGTTTCGGTTTCGCCGGGGTCATCCCCCATTATTATTCGGCCAGTTATTCCCAGATGTTGCCCGTCCTCGGAGAGACTTTGTTTCCTATTTCTTTCCTCCTCCTTATTATTTCTCTAGGCGTTGTTCCCCCCTTTGTAGTCATCCCCACTCTGCTTGAGCCTTCGCATTCCCTTAATCATCTGCGACTATAGTATATCCTCCGGGTTTGGACCCTGCCAACTCTAAGTCTTTGACTCATCAGTATTCTACCCCTGTACTCCTTTACCATACTCCTGGGAATCCTTCAGGAAATGACCCCTAATACATAAGCTCGCGCATCTGGGTAGTACTCCTGGGGGATGGATCCATCTGGGGTAGGGGGGATTACTTTTTCCTTCCTGTGCTTATATAGTACCCTCGCTTATATTTGACGGGTCCCTTCGGCTTGTTAACTGCATTAGACTGTTGGTCTATTTAGTCCTCACGTTGATATCCTCGGGGATGGAATTCTGCTTTGTGTTTTACCTAACACTGTTGCTCAGGCGGGCGTCATATTCCTCGTCACGGTGACTGGAAGTTATTATGAGACCTCATCATCCTTCCTGGGGGGATTTGATTCTATTCCTGAATTATGACATTTCTTGCCACTCTTAGGGGAAGACGCTGGTGGGTTTCCTTATCCTCGCGGGTTCAACTGAAGGAAGATTACTGATAGTCGCTAAGGTGGGGAGTCGTCATCCTTAGCTTTACGGCTTCCTTGTTTTAGATTGGGTACAATGGTGGGTTTACTTCACGGGCGCCCTCATCTTCTTTTGGGAGTCCCCCATCCTTGATGCTTCCTTCTTACGTCCCCTAATGAGACATTATATGGGCCCTAAGCTCTCTAGGTTCTGCACATATCCTTGGCTTTCAATAGTATACCCCCCTTGACTCATAAATCTTTTACTGGACGTAGCTTTTTCTCTATTTTTTCTTCTTTCTTCTATTACACCTCTCGGTTCGGATTGTTCCCTTACGCCTCCCGGTTTCTTATTTAGGCAGGACGGTAAAATGGAGGAGACACGGTTTCATTATTCCCCTACTTGTTACTTCCTTTTTTGGTGGATACCTGTCACGCTCTGGAGTATTTTGCTCATTTGGGGAGGGAGTTTGGGGGCTTCCACTTTGTCTAATTCACTTTTATTCTCTTCCTATATGGATCTTCATATACTTAGCGTCTCGTCGCCCTTCGCCCCCGCTCCCGTGTAATTTTGGTATTCAGTTGCTCTTCCTTATTCTCAGGGGCTATTGGTTAATGCTCTCTCGGTCTCGCTCGTCATTCAATACTAGGGTTTTTCCAGCTGGCGCCCCCTCTAGGAGGAAGTATATGGGATGTGATATCTTATACTTACTTGGTGTCTCGGGGAATATTTGGGAATTTCTGGATGGAGCTGAATGGGGCTTTTGCAGTTGCCTTTTACTTTTCCTTTCCTTAGAGGAATTTCCTGTCCCCGTTGTCCCCTTGGGGTTCTCTAGATCGGTACTTAGTTACTAATTACCTGCTCTAGGCTTGGGGTTTTCAGGCAAGTTAACTTATCAGTTGTGCTTTTTCTTCGTAATTTTATACTATTCCCTCCAGGGTTTGGATCTTGGGGATCCTTAGTTTTGCGAAGGTTAAGTATGTAGGGGAGAGTCTGGATCCCCTCGTGTATGCCGTCTTGATCCACACGCTTACTTCTCTAGAAGTTGGGTTAGTTATTTTGGTTCATCACTCCTGGGGTTTTTCGGATTATTCACTATCTTCCATCATCTATACTTAGGGTTTCTCATTACTTTTCCATTTCTCTTTTTTAATTCTCGAAACTTGCTCCGGGGAATAATTATTTCTTCAGACTTGTCCTGACTCCTTTTTGATATAACTTTCGATGGTGGCTCCTTTGTTGTATTGTACTTCTAGGAGTCGTTGCTGCTACTTTTCCAGAGTTTCCCCTCCTTCGCATCATGATTCTCTATTTGCCCTGTTCCCTGACCTATTCCCTGACTTGGAAACTTGTCTCATCTGGGCCATACTCGGTCAGTCTTCTCCTGACAGGGGTTGAGACTAAAGTTTCTCCCTGTCTGCTTCCCTCTCTCTTGAACCTAATCATCAACTGGTACTCTGTCCCCCCAGTTCGAGTTGTTCAGATTATCGCTCTTATTTCCACAC